AGTAGTAAATCCACAGTGAATCAAAGTTTGACGTCATCACCCATACTTGACGTTGGATTCACATCATCCGCTTAACACATTGATCCCACGTCAAGGGGGGGGGGGGTTAGCAGGAACCACGAAATTACAGGGTGGCTCGAAACATTAGCTCACCCTTTCAATAGAAGAACTGTGCTGCACTGAGAAATTTAATACTTTATAAATAGAGCTTGTTCTTCACAATCCAATGTTTCTGAAGGGGGTACTAAGGTTTCGGTATGTCTCTGCATCCATGAGGGGGCACTAGCTCCCCTGTGTGTACTCCTGTTTCTTCCTTTTGTCTTTCATCTCCATTTTTTTTTCTGGGAAAAACTTCCTCGCTTAGGGCACTTCTGCCCTAACTCCACGGGCTGAGTGTTTAAACAGGCCTAAATTTCATTTGGCAGCGGAGAGGCCGTGCCGTGCCAAATTTCATTTGGCACGGCATCGACCTCTGCGGTTTTTTTTTATCCCTCAGAGGCGCTAGATTCATTCATATTTAAAGAGATCACCCGAAAGGACTTATTGAACCTGTGATCTCGGCAAAGCTAGATAGAATATATAACCCCAATTCGATCAGGAGAAGCGGATTAGTTTTCTCGGTTGTGCGCAATACGTCACCACGGAAGCTAGGCAACTCGCTCACCGCAGTAGCCATGGAGAAATTACGCTGTTTTTCTTTTTTTTTTCTAAAGCGCAACACGGGCTCCAACGTCACATTACTCACACAGTGGTAGCCAAACTTGATATACTACTACATGAAGTTCGCATTACTTAGACTCAACTAATATAGTGCATACATTTTTGCCGATATGAGGAAATTGTCTTTCATTACTTCCGCAATTATTGTCAAATAAAAAAAGGCAATGTCTGAAGAATATCGGTAGGAAACGAAACATTAATAGGAAATGAACTGTAGTCGATACATAATGGTTGAACCTGATATCCTTTCGTGAATATCCTTGGGACTGGGACGATCGGTGCTGCTTCGCGCAAACTAGGTTCTGGCCTTCGTCCAACGTTCCATAGTCAGTAAGGAGCAAGCGAGTTATTCTTCCTTTGTATGCGGCGTTGGAAAGACCCCATTTGGAGTATTGCGTTCGGTATTGGAGGCCTACAAATAAAGTGAGCTCACGACTCTCGAGGGGGTCCAGAGGCAAACCACGAGAATCATCAAGGAGGTAAAGGGACAAACATGTAATAGCGATTAGAAGCTTTGGGATTTTACTCGCTCGAGAGGAGGTTAGCGAGAGGGTCCTCATCCAGGCATTTAAAGAGTATTAAGGAAATCGATAACGTAGAGCGCAGTAGGTATTTCTAGCTTGATGATTGCAGCAGAACGAGAGGGAACCAACTTCAATTGCTAGAAACCCAGGTGAAGCGTAGGTTGCGACGGAACTTTAACGCAGTGACGTAGTGGCTGCCCCGTGCCGTAATTAGCTTTAAGAAGCGACTTCATGCCTTCAACGGCAAAATAAAACAAGCTGGGCAGGTCCAGTCCAGTAGTGGGCCTCCTTTCAGTTAAGGGAACCCTAGAGGGGACTAAACAATAGGTGGCTATGCTCCCACAAAAATATCTAAGAGGGATGGGTTCATGCTTATGATAATGAGCGCTCGACCTCGACCCGGGACGTTATAATTAGCGGATTCGCCTCTTGACGCCCCTAACTAGACCTTGAACCTTCAATTGAAATTTAGAACGCACACGCCTCGTGTCTCGACCAGTCTGTGATGGTTTCTCTGATTCTCATGTACTCCATTTCGTTGGGGAAATGAGGAAATCGACGGCTTCGTAATACACTCTTAAAAGTGTAACTTTCATGCGATATTTATTTAGAAGTCACTCTTGAAAGTAAACGGTGCTCCAAAGTTATCAGGGGCTCATAACCTTTATCGTCCCGAAGTTTCCACACAGGCACCGCAAGGGAAGACATTTGAATTCTTCAACAAACTGATCTAAAGAGGTAACGCAGTCAAAGGAGTCTCCAGATAACTCTGGCATGGGTGTTGTTAAGAGGACGGTTCAACTTCCAAGGTGACTCCATGGGGGATCTCCGAAAGTAAAGGAAGTTTCTCCTTTCAGTTTCTATCCCAAAAATACGGAACTAGGAAACAAATGATACTTGATAGCAACATCGGAAGAGTTTTATGTCTGTGTTGTGTCATTAATTCACTCAAAGAAACGGGAATATTATTGTCCTTCACGACAAGAGGTAGAAATCTATAATTCTACAGGACGTTCACGTGTAAAATCTGAAATGAATGGCAATTTCTCAATTCATTAAACGATTCGGTGTTACTTGAACTGTCGCAACGTTTAAGCAAGATTCGAGATATTAAAGTGACAAAGGCAGCAAGGATAACTTTTCAGACGTAACTTTTGGATAACCTTCACCTTCACTGTTACGTTAGAAGTAGCTTTGATTTAAAGGGTAGAATTTTTTTGTTTTGTTTTCTAACCTTTAGTACTGGTTACTCAAAGGTGACACGTTTAAGAGTGTAGATCGTCGTATTCGCAAACCCTCACATTTTGATGCACTTTTTGATTAATTTCTTTGCTTTACCACTTTTCCATTCCTTTTGCTTATCAAAGCGCCGATACGCAATTTTGCAATAAGTAGGGAATTTTCGCCAGCAAATTCGGGATCGTGCGCAGACGCTGCAAAACTGCCTCCATAGAGTCGTCACCGGTCGCAGACTATGGGAAAGAGGCTGCGGAGGTGGGACTACTTTGCATTTTATCTACCTTGAATCCAGCATTGGGGGGCGAGGGTGGGGATGTCAAAGAAATTATCAAAAAGGCTCTAATCATGTGAAGGAATTGCTGCCTCACAGGTGACATGTAAGGAAAGGTAAAAAGAGTATCCATCCAGACCGAAAAAGATTCGTCGGCGTGAGTGTTTATTGCAGATGTTTGTGCAGCCTGAAAGATATCATATTCGATGGAGATGTCATATTGACATATTGATAGCATGGTAAAGCCCCGGACTTGCTTTGATACACTGGATTTATTCCGGCCAAATGCTACTTTGAATCACAGCCCATTCAGTAAACATCCATCCATCATCTTTGTGCTAGATAGAACCAATGATTTGCTATTGACAACGACATTGCAGAAAATGACACTTCGATGTGAAATCAACGCTGACGGTCTGTTGTTTCGACATCAGCTATGTTGCCATTGAAAGTTGAATCAATGTCGATTCTCTGAGGACAAGATACTAGACCCCGAAGTCAGCAAAAACCCACGCTTTCCCCCTTCTCTCGAACGATGAATATTGGGATGGTGAACGCAGAAAGGGCGGGACAAAGGGGATGGAAGGAGAAGGAGGGAATACTCTATTCCAGCGTTGATTGAGTTTAAAGACCTCGGCTACCCCCGTAATACGAAGCCTCCCTGGCCTGTCGACTTTCCCTGCCTCAAATCTCCATCATGGAACTTTCATTCCCTTCCTTTCTCCCTCCCAGATTAACGATTCCATTCTTTTCCCCTTTCCAATCTCTTCAACCTTTCATGAGAGCCTTGCATAATGCATCGGGAAATGTTTTGCTCTTTAATCGGATTCGCTGATAATAATAAAAAAGTTTTGTTTACTTACACATCTCAAGAGCCACTTTTTTTTAAGTCGTTGGATCTGTACTGTAAAAGTCTGCAGACTCGAAAAGTTTCTGCTGCAATTTTTCTCTGTTGCTAGTCGTGCAAAATCCGAAGTAACAAATTTTCTTTGACCAATCGCGTCCGAGATACTCGAGGTCAAGGGGTCAACAATCCTTAAAAGGCAATGGGCTGAAAATTGCATGCATACGCGATCACGTTGTCTTTCTTCACGGCCCCGCCCTGGGAAATTGAACTGGAAACACTGCGTAGTTGCGAAACTTTTAATCAGTTGCCTTCCATTGAGTTACCATGCCCCAATCCCATCAATATTTTGCTGGGAACTGCGCATGTTCCATGGGGACTTTTGACTTTTCATGGTTCCATGCTTCTGCCTATAAAAAAGGTATCATTATGAAGCCATGAAGAGAGTGTTTTTAAATTTATTCTTTATGTGGCTAAGAGTTATAAAAGGTAGCAGAAACAAAGGATTTCTGCAAACTGACGGACTTCAACAGACCCTGTAGGCCCGCTACCAGGAGGTTACGTGAATATTTTTGCATCCAGGTTTTCAGTAGCATGTAAAAGCATATAAGAAAAAACGTTTAGTATCTAGTTTAGTATCTAGTTTAGTATCAACCCAGCGCCATCTTGGTGTCATAGGCATATTTAACATTGGAAATTTTGGACATGATTGGTAAAAAAATGATAATAATTCTAGATTTTGCACTCATCCATTATAGAGAAAAAGTCAATAGCAACTATTCGATTGTGAGTTGATCGACTAATACCGACCCCCAAAAACGTGTCCACTTTATAAAAATGACAGGTTTATCAAGAAATGTATGTCCGGATATCCTGCCGGGAATGCTTCAATGGAAGTTCAGCATGAAAAACGGCAGTTCTTAAGTTTGATAAATTTCACATCTATTCAAAGAGGTCGTCTGTATCCCGGAAGCTCCCGTCCATTTCCGGCCACCATGAAAGACGGCCGACAGACCTAACACCCCCCACTCTCTTCTCACGATCGTGATTCTTCGACTTCGAACGTCGCTTTTCGAGGCGGGCGAGGAGAGAAAATTTTCTGCGTGGAATAATCCCTCCATTCAGATTCGTGGAAAGGCTCATGCTGAAATCTTCTGGAAAGTTTCATCTGCCTTTTCCCTCAACAAGTATAAAGGAAAGAAAGGAATGGAATCCTTACTCGTAGATGATAGCCTATCTAAGTCGGACAGCCTTCTGCAAGAAAGAGCATCTTCGAAACTCGACAAATACTTACGGCTTCGCATCCGTCTCACAAAGCTCGCGATGCTTTGCATGCTACGATGAATTGGATGAACTCTTATGTACGATAAGAACACGAAGTTCTCTTACCGTGCCATTTCAGGTACTTCGTGGACAGCGAAAGTGCTCGAGCCGTGGATCCTCGCCTGCAAAAAGCCTTGTTCCTGTTCGCTTGCGCAAATTCCTGTCTGAATCCCCTCGTTTACGGAGCTTTCAAATTACACGTGAAGAGACAGCGCTTCCGACTCAACCTCCATCCTTCCAAAGGTTCGTTACAAGTTTCTTCCTTCTGAATAATGGATTTGGCCATCATAGAATGAGAGCCAGTCCGTATAGGTCGGAGGCGGCGACGAAAATCGGAGTTCCCGGTCGTATGGAAGGCGAATAACACGAATTCCTCCAGTGCAGGAGGGGGCGGAGTCGGAGGTGGGGCAGGTGGAAGGAGGCCTCCCTCTCGCAATGGAGCTGCTCCGCCTGCATCCGCTCCACCTGCCATGCAATATCCTCACAGTCCACACGAGCATATCGCCATCGATCTCCACGAATGGCCTCATCCCCGAGACTTCCTCTGATGATCCGTTTGTACGTCCTTGCTCAAATCGTGCAGTGAATCTGTTCCACTACTTTGTGTTCACCAGAATGGTGAAGCAAAAATATATTTCTGTTCGGAAGAGTGGCGTTGGTTTTTTCCCTTGAAGTGTGGATTCAAGTTCCTGATTGCAGGGCTTGGCCATCTACATGACAGAGGAGGTCTCCCTCCTTATATGGTTATAGAGAATAGCTCTCTCTCCATTACGGAAGAAAAGGAGGGAGAGGAAGACCCGCGAAGAGATGTGAACAATGCATGCCTTTCCTCTCCCTCCCTACTTCCTTCCTTGGATCCATTTATCTTCTCTCCCCGTTCCTAGAAAACACGTTCCAATCTTCTCGGGATGACCAACAAGTGAGCCTTTTCCCACTATTTCTTATGCTTTACCTCAAGGACACTGAAAAGGATCTCCCACTTCTCTGAGACGCTATGGGTCATTTTAATTAGAAAATGAACAGCTGAGGTTGACCATGGGTACTGGCGTGCGATCGGTCGGAGAACCACCTGCCTTCGTCCTCGCATTTTTTATGTTTTCATACCGATGTAATTTATCAACTTGCACTCTTTTCCGGCTTCTCTGCTAAGAAGCAGTCGAATTCCAGCTCCACGTTTTGTCAGAAAGGATATTGATCGATGGGAGAAAAGGATTCAGCTCGTAGGAAGGTAGAAGGATAGGTTTTGCTATCCTACACCGAATAAAAAGACCACGCCCGTCGCCAGCAAGGAGATCTATAGATTCGGTGACAAGAGAGGGACAGGAGTCCATAATTCAATGGGTAGGACCGTGACACAGGCGATAGATGTCGTATCGACAAGGGAGGGCGCGGGCGAAGAATAGCAGAGCGCATTAGAGAGAGACTTTTCTCTCATTTCCCAATCTCATCCATCCCTGTCGATCTATCTCAGTCCCAATCCAAATCCAGCTCTGTCCATTAGCTTCTCCATTCACTTAATTTAGGAGCCTCTCAAGGGGGTCATGCCGATCCGGACCGGCTTAACGAGTGTAATTTGTGCAGACCGATGCGTCATCTCTGACGCAAGAGGCAGGACATTCGTGTCTTACGTCCGAATCGTCTTGCGAGAACGGAGGATAAAAATAGCACCGAAAAGCCTTCAGGCGTTGGGCAAACTTTGAAACGATATGAAAATTCGATCCCGACGGTTCGAGGAAGCCGTGGGTGGAGAATCCCTCGTTCCTTTGTCAAGACGTCATGACGTAAGGCTACCGGAAGATTGGCAGTCGTGAAAAATGAACCTAGTTTCATTGGTAGGAATGGATTCGTGGCGGAAAGACAATCCAACGGGAATCGCAACTGCGTCTTGGTGAGAAGGGATAATCTGCCTCTTAGGTAGTCGTGTAATATGTAATAGTCTCATCAAGGAAGATAATTTCATTTAACGAGTTTCACAGTTCCCATGAAGACAGTTACGTGTATAATGGGCAGAATTCTGCATTTGTAAAATCAAGGAGATCGTCAGGTAATAATGTGAATCTTGTCCCAGAGCCAAAAAAACTGGTCATTTTGAAATGTCCATGCGAGCGAGAGGTCAATTGTTTGACTGAGCCTAATTTGCATCCGTGCCTCGTCTATTTTTTTCTTCATGCCTATACCGACATCTCCTTAAGAGGACGGTGAAGCCTAATTTTGAAACATGTTGTATTTAGAGCGTGATTCTTCATGATGACAAATGTCCTCCATCTATCAACATCTTTATTTCACAAGTTGACATTCCTAAGAGATTTCATTATTACATGAGCGAGTCCTCTCATCCAGGAAATTACACTCCAAAATTCAAGAAGGCTTTATTAAGCGGTTTTTCACTCCTCATTGGCGAGCCATGCTGAAATCCTGGCCGAGAATAGAATGAGGTGCTTGACAGTTACTTCTGATGATCAGAAGCTTCAACAAGAATGACAGCCCTGTAAGACGCCTTGCAAGATTCCATTTTGGTATTTTACCCGCGGTCAAATAAATACAGTACATTGTACTCTACCAAGACAGGGGTAGGGAACATGCCAAAAAGTTGAAATCTCATAGGCCACGTGGGAAAGGCTAAAATGACTATTTCAACATACTTTTAGTTTACATAGTTTTAAGAAATGGTAGCAGTTTAAGTACGCCATTGCTTGAGCTGCCAAGTCGGATGACGCTTCGAAGAAAGTGAGGTATTCTTCTCGTAAGCTCCGAGATTCTCCTTCGGATGGCTGTCCCTGCCTTCGGAAAAAAGGAAATAGTGATGTATTAGGTGAGGAGGACTGGCAGTTTGTTGGACGAAGAACGAACATTCATTTACCGGTAGGAATCACCCCTTCCTATCACGATGTCTTCGAATGAACGGATGGGCTCTGGGCAGCTTGCCTGATGAGCGTGGTTTTCAGGAGGAGTCGGATGTTACGAGGCAGGTTTTAAATTTTGATCGGATGCATCTACTCAGATTTATTGTAGAGTCTGGCTTTGGGACCGCCGTTTTAATTTAAGTCACCCCCATCCATCGTTTGGGCAGATCGAGCCGGACTGGCCGATTCCTTTTAACTCGCTGAGAGGTGAGGCCTTGCGGGTACGGCTTGCATCTTCGGCGTCTATAGACGCCGAAGATGCAAGCCATCCTAGGCTTTTGGGCCATCCTAGGATGGCCCAAAAGTTTCTTCAAAACCATACCATGAACGTCTGCGTGATGAAAACGCATTCTACAAATTGCGCAAATCGCTTTTTGAGCTTCAACAAATGGGCTCAACTTCCCCCCCCCCCCATCTGGATTGATGCGCTGTTCGGGAATCGAGCGACAGACATGTGTCAACTGGATGAAAAAGGTTTCGAATTTCGCAATAAAATTAGTCCGTTTCAAATGTAATTATTTTGCACTCCATTTTACGTTAAATGTGTTTAACCGTTTGTCGTACTTTGTACCTATAGAATGCCCCAAAATTGCTGCTGAGAAAGCAATTTGCGAATCTTCCCCTCGAGAAAGTGCACGGAATCCCAAGCGACAAATTCCAGGGGCCGATTCAACACACTGGATCGTCCATTGTAAGCGACGTTGAGTTTGATGAAGCGACGTTGAGATGCATTATAGGCAGGGACGGATGCAGAAATTATTCATAGGCGGACGCCTCCTCAGTTCCTCTCCCCCCCCCCCCCCCCCCTCCCAGCACCACCAACTACCACCCTCTGTCCTACCATCCTTTTCATTTTCCATTCGCGGTAAAACTTGGGGATCCATTTCACAGACAGCAACCAAATACATTTGTGTAATATATTTACCTCGTAAGTTGGAATTTAGTCGTAGGTGGGTGCGGGTCGCCGCCCCTGCCCCCCCCCTGCCCCCCTTGCCTCCTCTGGAGCCCCCACTGATTGTAGGCGTATCGATTTGGGACCGCATCTGCTTTTTTCCTAGTTTATTTCCCATGGAAATGGATGGTGTCAATCAAGACAAAGTCGCTTTGATGCCAAATGTTTCCCAGCTCTTTCCCTTCAGGAAGAACATTTTTCGCTCAGTGGCTCTCGCTGAGGCTCTCACTGAGGCTCTCGCTCCATCTTCCATTGAAGCGTTCGACAAAAGTCATCTACTTGTGGCTCAGCGGAAGCGTATTTCACGATCCCGTCCCTTAATCCAGATCGGCAGAAGTTTTAAATCTCGCAAGGCAGAAAAGGCCTTAACCGCCTTCGTTTGATGCGTTTCACCACTTCGGCATTTGCGACGGTGTGACTCGGTTCGAACGCTTCCCTCCTCGAGCATCACGGAACGAAACGCACGAAAATCCTCGAGAAAAACCGCAACGCAGTCGAGGAAGGATGCAATATAAAATGGAGTCCTTGAATGCAGGGCGAATTTGGCTTGGAAATGCGTGATAGCGCGACTTGTTATGCATGAGAGCCTGACTTGCATCAGTCACTGTCCTTGCAACCTGAAAGGAACCCAGACTTATCAAAGTCCGACTCAGTCCGACAATGCGGGGGAGGTAGAGGGGGGCTGGGTGGGGGGGGGGGGTGAGAGGGGGGCTGGGGGGGGGTGGGAGGAGGGGAGGGGGGAAGGCCCCTGCCCTTTACCCTCACGGCTCCGGTCCAGTCCGTTCTGGTCTGTAACGGTGGATCACCAAACGGGACGAACCTTAACGCTTAAAATTACGCTCGGCCTAAACGGACCTCTGCCCTTTCTTAAAATGGAGACATACTTTTTCTGTTGTGCAGCTCGTGGCAGAGGCTAACCATTGCTCAGTTGCATTCTCGGCCGAGATAGTACAGAAATCAAAGGTCAGAGCGCAAGATGGTGTTTCCGAAGCTCCACGCAGCGCCTTCGAGTTGTCCTCGAGCCTTCGATATCTTTCGATGGCGAACGCTGGATTCAATCAAACCTAATGCTAAGTGAAGCAGGTTGCTCGCATGTAGGAAGCACTCTGCGATGATGAGCACTCACTCGAAACCGCATTCATATTTGAAACTCGGGTGAGTGCAGGACGATGCGTCATCGATTCGTGGGAGTCGATCTCTCTTGCAGGGATCGGGATCCAAGGCCCCGCAGATTCCGAGTCTTTTCGGATCGCAGTTCGTCGAGTGGTTCTCGCCGACAATTTCGCGCCTTAACGGCAAGATACAGGGTCGATTCTGGTAATCTTCGTCACGGCATTCTGCATGGATCAGTCCCGCTCCCACGACTGGGTGCGACGCCTCGCAGCCTCCTTCGGCGTCGAGAAGGTCTCTGGGGATGGGGAAGGCGAGCCGATCGATGCGGTTCCGGGGAGGGATTACCGCTAGGGCGTGTTCCGTGCGCCCTAACCGGGGTGTCAACATGTCGAAGGTTCGTATTCACGATTAACAAGCCCTCTGACGGTAAATGGATCTGGTGAAAGCGTGTTAAGTGACTTAAAAGTTACTCACCGCTGTAATGCTCCCATTTTTCCATCTTTGTCCATCTAATCGCTTCTTAATCGCTTCTTAATCCACAAATGGGACAGGAACTAAGCCGGACGCTTCCGTACGTGAC